GAGCAGCAGCGGTGACCTGGACCGACCCTCTCTAACGCCGGCGCCATCAGGACTATGGATCGCTGACAGACGGCTGCAGCTTCAGATGCTCAGATTGACCCAAAGCTTCTGAGAGACCAACCAGGCAGCGCCGGGGGAGTTTATGGTTGGACTCCGCCCCCTCCGTGATGTCACTGTGGGCAACGACCCGTCCAAGTGGGTTAATGTTCTGATGAAGGTTATTTTTTCCAGATGATCTAATGTTTGTTTGCACATGCTCGGTGATCCGGGCCCGCCGGAGCCCGGTGGGTCAGAACCTGATGGATGCGCCCTGTGGGCGATCCGCAGGGCGGCCGGGTTGGTGTGAATCCCGTCTGCGATCATCCCGTAGAACACCGTCCTTCCTGCTGGGATGCGGTCGCTGGTCAGGAGTCCCACGATGCCCGGGTCACGGTGGTGGAACTGGTCCAAACAGACGGAACATTTGATCAATGGGTGTTTAAGGTTCTGACCCGGCCTTCGGTTCTGATGGATCAGGACTCACAGGCAACATGGCGTTGAAGAGATGCGTGATGAAGGAGGCTCCATTCTGGACGGCGTCCTCAGCCTGCGACAGGTTGGCCACCGAATGACCTGCAAACAGCCGCTGCATGTCACACACCAGAACCAGAACCAGAACCAGAACCAGAACCCAGAGTCAGAAATCACCTAAAGACACAGTCACGCCCTGCTGGTGGAGCTTCCTGACCACCGATTGGCTGTTGGGCAGCTCTGGAGCCAGCGTCACCATGGCGACATTCTCTAGGCTGCCGTAGGCCTCCATCAGGTCCTCCATCCCTCCAGAACCAAAGGTCCGCAGGTACCGCTCCGGGTGGGCCCCTTTCTTCTCAGCGCTGATGAACGGACCCTCCAGGTGGAACCCTGCAGAACCCAGGAAGAATCAGACCAGAACCACAATCAGACCAGAACCAGAATCAGACCAGAACCAGACCAGAACCAGGACTAGAATCAGACCAGAATCAGAACCAGACCAGAACCAGGACTAGAATCAGACCAGAATCAGAACCAGGAGTAGAATCAGACCAGAACCAGGACCAGAATCAGACCAGAACAGGACTAGAATCAGACCAGAATCAGAACCAGGACTAGAATCAGACCAGAACCAGAACCAGAACTAGACCAGGACCAGAATCAGAACCAGACAGACTGGACCAGAACCAGACAACCTGGACCAGAACCAGACCAACCGAACCAACCGGACCAGGACCAGAATCCGAACAGGACCAGACCGACTGGACCAGAACCAGAACCTGACCGATCAGACCGGAACCTTTTCTCAGTACCTTCAACTGTGAAGCAGGACTGAACCAGAAGCAGCAGAATTTGGATCTCGGAGGTGTTATACAGAAGGAGGAGAAGATCCAGCAATCTCCTGACCCGGGTCAGAACCGGGTCATTATTATGCCCATGAGCTCCAGGACCAGGTCAGCTGGTAATGACCCATCAGAGCTACAGTGGTCCCATGAGGTTCCCCTCAGTGAGCTTCAACCTGAAGGTTCTGGACCGTTCTGGATCCAGTTCTGCTTGCTACACCTGGTCTGGGTATCAAACCAGTCTGAGTTCTGATGAAAACAATGAGCAAGAAGAACCTTCAGGGCGGTTCTGTAAAGATGGAGAACATCTGCTGGGGTTGAAGCCAATCTTACCCAGAACTCCAGCTCCATGTTTTCCTCCATCGTGAACCTGAACCTGAGGCAGAACCTGAAAAACAGACAGAGTTGGATTTGAAATCCAGAAGCTTCATCTGTGGGATCAGCTCCAGCTCAGATAAGCCACCTTATGGTAGACGGCAGACGGCGACGTCACCAGGGTGGGACAGAAGGAGGTCACGCCGTGCTCCAGGACCTTCTTGGCCACTAGGGACACTCCAGCAGAGACGTCATCAGAGGGCTGAGAGAAGTCCACGCCATAGCCTCCTGCAGGAGGAGAAGAAAGTTCCACATCAGCG